GAGTATAATGAGTGTAGGTTTCAGAGGCCTTGGAGGCGTGCCCTCAATGTTGAGAGGGCTTACATTATATAGCTAGGGTAAGGCAGTAGAGGCGGTGGCGTGAGGGAGAAGAATTTTATTGTTTTGGCAAGTATTGTTATGATAGGAGATCTTCGATGTCTACCTTCATATTATCTTCCCTCTTGCTGCTATTCATTTGGAGGAGAACTCTGAGTTAGATTGAACTTGAGCTTGAGCCTGGAGTTCGAGTGGTCTTGGTCTTGCATTGGAGTGAAGAAATGAGAGGAGGATGGGCAAGGCATGGGTGGCTCCCCCTTGGGTACCCTGGGTGGCGCCCATTTGGTCCCTTGGGCAGCGCCCCCTTTGAGGATGGACTTGATCTCTGCTTTGGACTCACACTTGACTCCTTGGTTGATCCATCTCCTCTTGGACTTTTGTTTGGGCTTTTCCGGCGTATTTAAATAGGGTCTAGCCTAGTAAAATTCGGGCTCATCAGTTGTATTGGTATTCCAAAAGAGATACACTAAAAAGATACACAATAGAGTTACACTAACAAGTTACACCAAATAAATAATTAAATCCCTTATTCACCATCCAGTGACATCAGAAAAAAATACAACGACGAGATACATCAAACAGTTTCACTAGAGAGTGACACTAAAAAGATACATCATATAGTTGTTGATATTACGATTTGGTGTAGATTATTTCGGCGATGGTAAGAATGTGAAACCAAAACTCGCCGAAAATGTTTTGGGGTGATCTTTCTTCTCTAAAAAAATTATCAATTTGGTCTTCTATATATAGCAAATCCAGTTTTTTTTACAAATATGGAAAATCAGTGTGGTGTTTCAAATTTAAAAAATCGAAGAAAAAATAAGAAGAAAATCGTCGATTTCTTTATTCTTGTTTGTCAGAGTTGTGTTTAACGTGATAGGGAATATGAATGGTTTCCAAAAAAATTAGGGGCCTTTTGGTTTGCATCTCAAAAAACAGTATCCCAAAATAATTTTTGAAAAGAGTTTTAAAAAAGTATTTTTTGATATTTGTATATGACAAAATCTATTTAGTTATATGGTTTTGAAAATAGTTTTAAAGAACAGAAAATAGTAAAACCTGTTAGGTCAATGATCTACAAAATCAATTTTTAACTTATCACTTTTGACCCAAAAAAAAATTATCACCACAAATCCTTTCTCTCCAATCAAGCATCACGTCTTCTGGAGCCTTCTCTCCCTCCCTCTCTCCTATCTCCATTTATCTTCTCACACAACAGCTCTGTTTCTCCTCTCTCCATTAGCAACTTTCTCTCTCTCTCTCTCTTATCTTCTCACACAGCACAAACATACACACCCAACAAACACACACTCACACATACAACAAACAAACAAACAAACACACACACACACACATACATCACATAATTCACATATATATACACATATGGAGATTTGTGTATATATATAGATTTGAACACAGATCTATATATATACACAGATCTATACAAATTTGTTGCAGAGAGAGAGGAAATGACATTAGAATCAACACCGAAACAAACTCATATCTGAACCCAGATGTGCGTGTGTGTGTTTCCTTTCTTCAGGTTTTGCTGCTAAGAAGGTTTGAAAGGTAGACCTCATTAATGAATAATTGGGTTGTTCTCCGTGTTCTCGTGTTTCCCTTCCTTTGTCTGCAAAACACATAAAACAAGCCTAGCTTGTTTTTCCATTTTTTGTTTTTTACATTCATCTTTTCCCAAAAAATAGAGAACAAACCCAAACCAAATAAGTTTCTCTTGATTTTTAGAAATTTGAGATCAAAAAATTGTTTTCAAAATTCAAACCAAACAGACCCTAGGTTTTGCAAGTTTTACTTTAAATGGATGCCTTTTCATCTTTTTACAAGTAAATGTACTTTTACCCAAAAAAATTTATGTATTGTCCTTTCCTTCAAATAAGTCTATATTTTTGTATCGACTTCCATGTTTTCCAACTTTTAACCTGTCCCTAATCTAATATGGGCTCAACTCACAATTTAGTTAGGGTTTTTTGGGTGTGGGTATATTTTTTTAGACTTATTTGAGAGGAAGTGTATAGATAAATTGTTTATATTAAATTCAATTTTAATAAAACATCTTGTGATTAGGGACAAAATTTAAATGATCTTTTATGTCTTTTACTTACCTACTATTTTTCTTAAATTATGCATAATTCTTATTTTTTCACTCTCTCTCCTTATTTCTCACACCTTTACTCTCTCTCTCTCTCTCTCTCTTCGTTACTCTATCTCTCCCCTTTTTTTCTCCCTTTCTCTATATAACTTTCTCACTCTCTCTCCCATATTCTCTATCTCTCCCCTATTTTTTTCTCTCTCTCTTCCATTGATAATTTATTTTCTTTTCAAATATGTAAAGATTTAATTTTTTTCATCTCTCTCCCCTATTTTTTTTTCTCTCTCTCCCCCTATTTTCTCTCATTGTTACACTTTCACCTTATTCTTTGTCTCTCTTTTCAATGTCACAATAATACAATTACACCAATCAGTTTCAATTACCCTATAATATACTAAATAATTACTCATGTTTGCTGATAAACTAAACAATTATATCAAACAATTACACAAGATTACGACAATAACCCAATTTGTTATTCAATTATTTGCATAACTAAAGTATTACACCATTTAGTATCACGACATAATTACACTAATTATATACACAAAATTTGATATAATAATAAACTATTTTGTGTAATGATAAACCCAATTTTGATGATCTACATGTTCCACCCATGTAGATCATCAAAATCAAGTTTGATGGGGCAACTTTATTGCGGTTGTTCAAGCATATATCATAATGGTCAGTTTTTTGTCAGGCTAAATTAGAAAATTTATGGTGTTTAAGATTGGATAGTGTGGAGGCTCTAGCGACATCTATTGCAGTAAAAAAAAAGGGTAGACCTTAATTTTGATGAAGTTATACGGGAGGACATACGATTCAAAATATATTATTGAGATGGTGAGTAGTAAGAATATTGATCTGTCTGAGATTGGTAGTTTTGTGAATCATGAGATTGGTAGTTTTGTGAATCATATTCACTTGCTTGTGGATAGTTTTGTTATCGAGTGAGGTGGTCCAATGGGGTATTGGCCGAATTTTTCACTATAATTTTTTTTTTTGGGAGGGGAAGGGGAATGAGGAATCGAACCCTTGACTTCAAGAAGGCAAAACTTTTATAAGACAAGGAGTATCATTGAACCAAAGACCCATTGAGATTTGTTGGTTGGTTGTTGGAGTTTCAAGTCTTGAAGTTTACATTGATGTTTAGTGGTTGACCGCTATACTAGCTTAGTTCGATTCGTTCTCGAGAGGTGTTAAGGGCGCGGTCAGGGGTCTCATATTTCCACAAGTAAAGGTCTATCAGAGTGGTCTCCAGACACTCTCCTTTGTCCCCACCCTTTTTTTTAATAGCAAAAAAAATAAATAAAAGATAGTTTCATTAAATTCTCTACCTCTTGGATCCATGGTGAAGACAATGTTGTGGCTAATAGCTTAGCAAAATCTGTGATTAATTATAATTACTCACATATGTGGATGGGGGAGGAGATTCTAGTATTTTTGTTACTTATCCTAAAAAAAGATGTAACTGTTTTTGATTTAATTATTGATAGGCCAAGCCCAAAAGCCCAACTTATATTATAAGTTCAGTCCAAGTTAAAGGCCCAACTCCAAAAAATCCACCAAGTCCAGTTCAATGTGATTAACCCGGACGAGCTCATCAAGGTTAAGTCACCAAGGGACCATTCAAGAGTCTCACCCTTGCCGCCTTGGAAACTGATGAGTTCAAGCACTATAACTGTCTTGCCCGTTGAGAAGAGGTGCGTCTCCGCCGAATCAGCTACTTAATTACCATAAAGTCACCTCAATCTGTTATGACCGTCAGACTAGTTATTCAATTACTATATTGAGCGACTATAATTTGTAAACCCCACCAACACTTGGGGGTATCAGACTCATTGAAGTATAATTCTCTCATCCTCCTCTCAAAGCTTGTAATTCTTTACTCTCCCTACACATTATAGTTAATAAAATACCGGCGATCCTTGTCATTTAAAATAGACGTAAGTCATGTTGACCGAACCACTATAAACCTTGTTTTTTCTCTCTCTCAACTTATTTTACTATCAAGTAACCACTGTACTGCTTACTTGACAGATAGTATGCAAACTAATTTATACATTATCAATTATATTATAATCGTTTCTTAAAAATAAAATTGTAGGATGCAAGAAGTGGGTTAAATAGTACTACTCTACCAATAAAAACAACGTACGGCAAAACATGAATCTAAGAAGCATTCAAATAAAGATCGAAAAAAGCTGCGAGAAATTAAGGGAGACCTGAATGGCTTTGTAATCTCGAACTTCATTCATTATTGAGATGGTTGATCGATCGTTAGTGTGGTGTGGTGCCCTGCAACTACCTAGCAACGGCCGGGCGCAAATCACGAGCTTTCCTTCCTCAAATCTCTCCATAACCATACATACATACATACGTGAGGTAGCCACACATGCCCCAGGCTCTGACGGTTTCCAAGTGCATGTCTCCCCCTTCTATCTCTCTCTCTATATATAAATCCAACCTAACCCAAAAACCAAAGGCGTTGGCAATATTCGTCAATTGATTCTGTAACTTTCTTAAGCCTACGTTGAAGATCAGAATGGCTTTCAGGGCAACGGTTTGTGCTTCCTTCGCTTCCTATCTATAATCTATATCATGTTAGTTAAGTACTAGTTAATTACTTATTTGTTTGTTGATACATTAATTCCTCTGATCTGGTTAATGTATAATTATTTGATTGATCGATGCTTGTTCTTACGAATTGCAACAAAATGCTGCTTGGTATATATGTGTTACTCATACATACATATAGAGATACTGGAGATCGATACTAAATGTACTGGGACATAACCGATCGTTTTCATCTTCAACCGCTCCCAGAATGAAAGTATTTGCCCCCACAACCGATGTTCTCCATGCTCACGAGCATCACAAGTCTCGGTTAGTTTAGTCGTTATGATTCCCATCCGCATTGCATTACTTGTGGGTGCCTTGCCTTCCTTCAATTTCTTTCATCGTGAAGTGAACATTTCATCCGAAATGTAAATGTTACAAACAACAGGGCGGCTATCCACGGTGAGTTTGCGCCAATTTACATGATGCTGGGGATGCTAGCGGTGGCGCTGTCAATTGGGGCTCACACTGCCAAGCAGCAGCTGGTGCATTCCCCAACGGTCTTTGTCAACAAGAAGAAGAGAGAAACAGTGCCAGAGGTGGACGATCCCGATGTGGTGATAGGTTCTGCCGATAAGTTTGTCAACAAATCTTTCCTCAGGAAGGTGGCTCACATTCAGGACCATAACTACACCCTGCCCGACCCAGCAAGGCCTGACCCTTTTACGCGGTTTGTACCCGGCCACTACTTAAATTAATTTTAGAGAGTTTCATGACTAGTTTTGAGTCTTGCTTAAATTTAATTAATTAATGGTATCTGATTTCAATAACTAATGTTGCAGCTCTAGAGACGTTGAGACGTTAAAAACAGTTGGAGTGGAACCTGGTGGCCACTAAGCAAGCAAGAAGGGAAGAAGATGAGACGAGCACAGGCTGTTTGCTGGTCTTGACGACGTACTTCTTGATCATATTATGTCTTAATGCATTTTAATTATTAATTGTAATTTGAATCCTTCCCCGTAGAGCTGCTCCCCCCCCCCCTCCCTATGCCAGACTCATTAAAAGTTACGACGGGAGAAGTGATTATTTCAATGATCTGTACCTCCGGCTTTCTTTCTTTCTTTCTTTCTTTTATATATATTAGTTGGTGTATACGCATGTGTTGCACATACACTATATCAAATTATAGTTTTGTTTTCTTTTTTTGAGATAAGCAACTTCTAATATTTTATCAAGGTTAGCTTGATACCCTCAAACTTCTTGGAAAAAATATTAAATGTTTTGTTTCAATTTCCTTTATCTCCTATCATCTAAAAAACAAAATGAATTTCTAATTAAAATAAGAGATTGTCAAGACTCTATAACCAACCCTTTGATAAAGAATTTTTCTTCATAACCTTGATTAAGTGAAATGCCAGGTGGCTGAAGTTATCTCATTCTCTCTGCTTAAAATTTTTTTCACTTCACTATTGTAGTCTCTGCACCATGAGGAGATGGCTAATGAGCAAGACTGAGACTAATAACAAACCAAATAAATTTACCTCCTAAAATTATGAGGAAATGAGTGCATAAACGTGTCTAATAGTTATGTTATATTAAAAAAAACAATATATAGATATATAAAATTTATATTGCCTTAGTATAGAGGATTTGTACATCTTCGTAGATAGCAATATTCTTTTTGTTTTGATAAATTATTTCTTTATGTTTTGTGCTTGATCATATACTGTTGAGAGTCTATATCTACATTGACCAAATCTACTAAACTTTATATAAACGAAACAAATTGGAAGCTTTCAAGATCAAAATCAATACAAAATAGTGAGATTAAACAAAATTATGTAAATTTTTGTCATACCTCATGTTAGGTCCTCGTATTCATATGTTATCCATTACTCTTAAATGTTGAGTTTTCTTCACTATCAAAATAAACAAACCTTAATTAAAATCAAAAATAAAAGAAACATATACATTCACACACATAATTGTAGAACTCAACAACTATATGAGTTTTCTAAGTTTTGTGATTTGATTGTTATAAAAGAAGAAAGCATGTGTATGAAATAAAAAAGTTATGTTGGGATTTAACACGCTTTAAACCTACAGACAAACACACACAATCGAAAAACAAATCAATAACATAAAGTAATAAGAAACAAGAAAGAACAAGACACAAAGATTTTACATGGTTCGGCAATTTTGCCTACGTCCACGAAGCTACTGAAATTTCACTATTGAGAGAGCGAAATACAAAGAGCGGCTTTCAGGTACAATCAAACCCTAAACAATAAAGTAGCAATTTTTATATGTTCTGCATACCAGACTATAAAACAGGTCCAAAAAATTTTCCTCGGAGGCCTTTCGGCACGCTCCATGGACCAAGCCTCATAAAATTTTTCATTAAAAAGTCACGCAATATTATTTCGATTCGGGTCATCATCCGGATAAACACATAAATTACACTCCACAAAGGCCCAACAAGTTCAAACCGAAAAATCAATATTAAGTTAGAATTTTAAAGGTCGAAAAACAAATGAAATAAATCGGAAGCTTTTACGGTATGCATTTGAAGGAAATATTAAAAGTCTAATTACTTTAAGGTAAAAAAATGATTTTTTCTATTCTATTATTTGAACAATCATGTACAAGTTTATCAATGAATCAATAGAAAATTAAGTAACAATGAAGTGATTGCAAAAATAGAATTAGTTAATGGTTGTATTGTCAACTAAATTGTTGATGAAAATAATTTGGGAGAGAAAGAGTCATCAACTTGTGAAATAAGTAAATGTACATTGCAAGGAACGATAATTTGTGTGAAATTGAAAGTATATGAAGGGTCATTTGAATATTTAATCAATAAATACATAAAAATATAGTTGATTATAACCTTTTTAATAGGCTCAATCAAAAGTTTTTCGCTTAATTTTCTTTTATTAATATTATAGATATATTATAAAATAAATAAGGACCCGACCCACAATAAATAATACAACCCCAGAAGTTGTTGTGGCTTTTGATTTTCCTCAGCTTGTAAAGTTGGCCAAAAACTTCCTAAGTACCTAATATATCCAGGTCAATTTATTGGGTATATTTACGTACCCTACCTTGCATAATACACTCTCAGTCGCGGCCAGCCGCCTGCAGTTCTGTTCGCATTGGATTGGATCATAATGGTTGCACAGTACAGATGCCATCTTAACTCGATCAGTGAAGACATCATTTTGCTTTGATAATTACCTTGTATATAGCTAGCTATACGTACGCACACACACACTGCTTTAATTAATGCAATCTCGTTGATATGATGCCCAGCCCAGCCCAGCCCAACCCCATTTTTTCACCATATACTTTCAATTAATTAGTTACGTTGATTTCCCTAACTCAAGCCATTTCCACGTAGTAGAAATGATGAAATATATACCCTCACTAATCTATCAGTCCCAATTCAGCTTATCTTCCTCACACAAGTAATCAAATATGTCTATCTTTCTTCACCATTTTCATTTAATGATGCTGATATTGCAACTTAACCTTTCCTACTGAATATCAAACATATCCTACTACTACTGTGATTTTGTTCCTTCATTTAATGAGATGATTTGAGTTTCGTTAATTTATGTGATCATATCCTTCTTGTTTTATTCACAAACCCCTTTAGAAGATCTATTGAACAGTTCTATACTTTTTGTATTCGCTTGAGCAGCAACATATTGTGATTTTGCAATAACATACATAAAAGTCTGAATTTGTCTGCAACACAAATATTTAAAATATGAATGCAGTGAGTCCTCAGGAGTGTTTAGTAATTCATGCTTCACCAGCTAAAATAGGACAAACAGAGCAAATTCCAAATGCCCATTTTTTGGATATTAGTATAGATACCAATGATTGAAGTTGGTATTGATTTTCTTCTCCTTTTTGTCAGCTAGCTTAGCATACTCCCCACCTTCCCTAACAGCAGATATATACCCTCTTCCTAACATTTTGCCGTTTCTAAGACTTCCATGCATGTCAAACTTTATTCAGGAATTTGAAGAAGAGGATGAGCAGTTCCACAGCACTGCAGTTACACAATCATCCCATGGGAGTCCTAATCCTAATGGAAATGGTGGGGATGGTTCCAGCAGTCATAACACCACTACATCAAAGACGAAACGAAATCTCCCAGGGAATCCAGGAAAGTAGAAAACTGCTATAGATTTTTTGTTCTAATTGAGTTCGTATTTTTGGTAATTAATAGGTAGTACACAAGCCAATAGAACTTTGGGATGTCATGCAGACTAGGCTAGCTAGTAGATCTTCATTATAATTGTGCTCTAATTTTTCAGTTTCTAATTCATATCACTCTATTTACATTGCTGCTGTGATGGTGGTCTTCTTTTTCAGGCAAACTCTCACGCCTTTCCTTTCTGTCCTTTTCACTTTGTTTAAAAATATATATATATGGTTCACACACATGGTAACCATGAATCCATGATAGCTGGTGCATTAGTCATCATTTTCCAGATATTTCTATTCCCGCATAAAAATTACACCGTAGTAGTCTTCCAAGCATATATTGGATCATCTGATTCATTGAGTGGTAAACGTTGCCAAAATAACCTTTTTGTTATGCTTTGTCCTAAAAAAAATTCAGATCTAGATGCAGAGGTTGTGGCGCTGTCACCGAGTACACTAAGGCCACAAATAGGTACATTTGTGAGGTCTGTCATAAAGGATTCCAGAGAGATCAGAACCTTCAACTCCACAGGAGAGGCCACAATTTGCCATGAAAGCTGAAGCAAAGGCCAAGCACACAAGTGAAAAAGCGAGTGAATGAGTGCCCTGAACCAAACTGTGTGCACCATGACCCAAGCCGGGCTCTAGGTGACTTGACTGGCATAAAGAAACACTTCTGCAGGAAGCACGGAGACAAGAAATGGAAGTGCTACAAGTGCTCAAAGCGTTATGCTGTTCAGCTCGACTGGAAGGTGCACACAAAAATCTGTGGGACACGTGAATATCCATGCGATTGTGGGACTATTTTCTCAAGGTCAAGATTTATTTTTTGTTTGCATTTATGTTTTTCTCTTTTTAAAAAAATAATAATAATAAACATTGGCTACATCTATAGTTTCCACCTTCCTCAACTAATTTTCAACTAACCTCGGCTAAATCCTACTATTCATTTATCTTCAACTTTCGGCGTAATTGTTGCCATATTGCACTATTCCGAACTGTTACAGTCAGGTCATCGCAAGGGTTGTGCTCATATATATCCATCTGCCTTACTCGTTCAGCAACATATTAAAACCTTGCAGTAATACTAATATGCATGTTGCTTCACTTGAATCTGTTGATCAGGAAGGATAGCTTCGTAACACACAGAGCCTTTTACGATGCACTGACAAAAGAAAACTACAACATGAACCAGACCCTCGCTGTCACGGGAGGAATGTTACAGAACCATGCTCATGAATTATTCTCCTCCTCAATTCCCACCTCTGACTCCTACACAAACACAAACGCCATGATTGACATATCGATTTCACACCATGAGAACATTGATAATTCAGCAAACCCACCATCTGTGAATTCACATGGGATCATGATGTCTAGCAATTTGGATCCAATTTTCAATCCAGGAGGAGATCGTGCAAGCTTTGGCTCTGTAGGTGGACATAATAACTCAACACTGACAGTTGTCTCTGCTTACACATCAGCGACTGCCTTGTTACAGAAAGCTGTAGAAATGGGTGCAAAGATCAGTAGTGACAATTCAATTGCCCGAATTCTCCTTAGAGGTTTTGCGGGTTACCCCACTAGCAGCGTCAACTCATCTGCCTCGGAACTTCAGCAGGAGGCATTTTCATTAGCTGGCAGTGTTCTGACAAGTACAAATGCTTTGTATGCTGGAATTCCAGAAACATCTCATAACAATGTAGAGGAAGGAAACCAAAGTTCTGGTCACAATTTTAGTCAAACTGGCTTATATGATTCTTCTTTTTGTATGACAAATTCATATGGATACTCCAACAGTAACCTCTTGGAAAAAGAAGTAATCATAGGAGGAAGTGAAAAAATGACTCTTGAGTTCTTAGGGGAAGGAGCCAGCCGTTCATACCAATGGTTGGAAGAAAGGAAGCTCTGATGGAAACACAATGGAGTTAGGATACTCAGTTGGTCAGAACTTGCGTTCGGAGTGGTTGCCACGCTGCTTTATATGTTTCTGAGAGAGTAATCTTTACGTGTTAATTTAGAAGTCTGTGAGCAAAAAAGAAAAGGACTGGCTAGTTCTAACTGTTCGTAGACGACAGGATATTATTAACATCAATTTATGACTCCTTTTTTTTTTTGGTTGATAATTTTAGAAATTTTGCTGTGAGACTTTTAATCCAGAGCTTAGTTAGTAGTAGCTGAATCAAACTAAAATAGCAAAATTCTGGTAGCTAGGCCCAGGGGGATTAAGTTTGACAGCATATCTAGTTTAATTTTAGCATTATCTGGGCCTGGCTTTCAAAAAACCATGCACCTTGTCAAAGCACAATGGCATAATAGCCTCCAAGAGTGAATTGTTGCTGGGTCCACTTCCTGCAGTGTTACAGAAAAATTTTTGGTATGGTAAAGGTGAAGTGCCAAAAAATACAAGTCTTTATTTCCTGTATCTCAGCATCTGTGATCTGATGTCATGTCAATCAGGGTCCATTATATCTTACCCAGTAGGATTATGTACAAAAAAGTTAAAGAGCAACGCTACATATATGAACTCAATTCAATGACTATGATCGATTCATCATGTAATAATTGTCACCAAATAAGATCATTAAATCATGTACAAATAGCATTTTATTTTTCAAACGAAACCTCCTTTATGTGAGAAAATAGGAACCTTCCTTCCTTCCTTTTAACCCGCAGCGGTTGAATTTCATTTAGCATACAAGTTGAATACCACACAAGTGCTTGCTTGTGTGAGCAATAAATATCTCCATCACCGCCCCGCAGTAAGTAACAATCAAAGCAGCAAGCAGTCAAGTCTATTCAGTTGTAAATCAATATTCCCTCTCAAGAAAGCAAAACTGGGTATTGTGGTGGCTACTCATTTGGAAATCAACGAGTGCCTAGACTCTTGCACTCTCCGTGATTTATAGGATTTAGTTTAGCGTTACATTCTTCCATTTCTCACACATGTATAATTAATCTTGTAAGTTTGAAAATCAATGCATGGTAAGTAGTTTGAATATAATTATTAAAATCTAAATAGCTCCATCAAAAATCGGTTGTAGAAGCAAGCTCATGATAAAGACTTCGAGCATTACAACCACTCTACATATTGGGCACAACAAACACAATGATCATGCGGCCTTAAATATTGGTGCTTGGGCAACAAGCATAGATAAATCAAACCAGTACTTCACAATCTATACGCCTTAAAAAATAAAAACAATGATCCAGCCAATCCTCAGTGGTCAAGTGCATTAGGAAAAGGAACCACTTCCTTACAGTTTGACATACGCAGGTTATTTGGTTCTTGCATCGTATTATGTCATGTTGGGAGCAACAAGGATTCATTTCCAAACTATTATCCACATATCCCAGGCCCAGCAGATCCAAGGGTCTGTCTGACCACCTGCACTGCACCAACACACACAAAAACGCACACGCAAAGATATGATCCTGATCGTCACCTCAACCGCTTTGCACTCGTTTTTCTTGCTACTTTTGCTCGAGGGTATCAACTTTTACTCAGATATAATTTGCCTGCCTGCTGTTAAATGAAAGGAAAACAATTAATCGAAAAATGATATCTAAATTAGTGGTGCAATAAGCACCAGTCATCAGACCTGTCTAATCATCTTTCAGAAAACTATCCAATTTTGTATCACCATCAATTTAAAATTTCTCAGATGATCAGCTCAGGCCAACAGATCCTGTGGGTAAACAGAAAATAAAATCCTTACTAAACCAAGTATTCTAACATCATGAATAGATTGGAACATAGAAATTGGAGCTCCTGATTTTCGATGGATTGACACAGTATGGAACAACCGACTTATCAATGCTCCAGAAACACAAAACAAACATGCGCCATTCATCCCAAAAGGTAATGATCAAAGCAGTCATTGAGTAGGTACCCCTTCATAAGTCACCTAAATACCAGTTCCCTTCTTAAAAAGTGGGATCCAAACACACTTTCACATGGCAATCTTGTTCTAGGACAGGCAATGTCATCAACCATTTTATGTCACCCGAGAGCTAGTGCATCTTTTTTTTTGGCCTCCACAATGAAACATAATATTTTCCCAATTCAACTACAGGCCTTAAAGACCACAACTTCAATGGCCACCATGAATCTTATTTCTATCTCCTATCCCATGTTCCATTCCGAACTCAGCAGCCAACATTTGTATATCACGTGTGATCTCCCAGTTGGCTTTTTCATTTGAATTGCTATGCCTTGGCTGGGTGCCACATCTCTCTAAGCCACCAATGCTCTCAATCTGGTTCTGTATTTCTTCAAAGTCATCCGCATCAACAGCCCGCCGTTTCCCCATCTCTACGTCAAAGCTCGTTTTGGGCATTTCTGGGCTCATTGGCCGGCCCAGATACGACGAAGTGTTGAAGATAGAAGATGAGTCACCTCTCAACTTTTCCCGAAAGTCATTCATAGAACTGGGTATCTTAGAGAAGAAGATCTCCCTAATATTGCGAGCACATCCAAGGTTATAAGGATTCATCTTCCTATCATACCGATATCGGAAATTTTCGTACGTTGTCTGCATACAAGACAAAATCTTAGAGGTATAAAATGAAGACTGGTAACAATGTACTATCATAGTAGGCAAAGAGATGAAATAAAACCTGGTTTGTGATAACCAAGTAAATATGAAATGCAGTGAGACCTCCAACAAACCACGAAACCACGAATGTATACAGTAAAAGAATTCCTGAAACAGGGGACTTCATGAGGGCCATCCAGATATTACAATGGTATGCCTCCATAATCTTCATTATGTTTACGCAGCAGAAGGCAAAAACATACAGGCAGAGGAGGGTTGTTGAGAACACAAACATGAAGAAGTATCGGTAATTCCTCTGTAAATTGTTTGAGACTGTTAGGCATTATAAATGAAAATGAAAGAAGTAGTAGAAGCAGAAATTTCTTTATTACACAACACATGCCAAGCTGTAAAAGATAGTGGCATAGTGCATATCACTTATTGAAGGTTGTTTTTTATGAGAGCACTAATTTTGAAAAGTTACTGCTCAAGGATCAGCATAGTTAACAGGTTATACAAACAACCTTGCATGGTAAGACAATTAGACAATTTCAATAATCATAAAACTTTGGAAAAAATGGCAATGGCCACAAATATCATCATTAATAAAAGTGTCGGTGTCTGTAAATTTGATTGCAAGGATTTGTCAGACTACAAGTATAGTTGGCAAGTTCCCAATCCATATAATAGAAGATTGGTAAGCCATCTAGTCCAATTTCCCAAGCTTCAAACATGATATGGAACTCTAAGGCTCCTCTATAGGTTCAAGTTTTTGCATGGTTACTTGTACGTAAGAAACACTAATGATTTGCTCCAAAGAAGAAGACCATCATATTCTATCTATCTGCAATGCTTCATGCTTTGTCAAAATGGAGAGGAATGTATGGACCACTATTATTTTTACAATGTCCTTTTGTTTCTAATTTGCAGAATAGGCTTTTGGCAATGATTGGACTTCCTTGGGTGGCTCCTAGAGACTGTGAATCGAGCTTTGTCAATGATTTTGAGGGCAATGGTACAAGCATCAGAGCTAAAGTTTTATGGAGATATGCGGTTTGTTTCTGATGGAATGGTTGGAAAAAACTGGCAGCATCTTTGACGGGAGTGTGCCTCCTTGGGAGGACTTGTGGGATAAAATATTATTCATGGTATCTCTTTGGACTTCCACGACTAAGGAATTTTGTTTTTGATAAAGGACCACTGGGCTCAACTGTGTGAAGAATCTTGATGCTTAGAATTCTACATTTTTTGTACTTTCTTTCATATTAGACTTTTAGCTTCTCGATTTTTTGACAATTTTCTTTTCAATCTTGTATTGTTTAGAGGATGAACTTTGCTTTTATCATTAGTAATATTACCTTGCTTCCTAAAAAAAAATCGAGAAAACAGAACCCTGTTCACTGATACTAGATTTTGCAAATTATCTCATATACAAATATATACATGTAAAAAACACAGTCAATGTTTGACAGTTTACATATTAATTCAGCAAACTATTCTCATGACCAGCAAGTGCTACACTACAAAGTTGATCCTCTCTTTCTCTCTCTCTCACTCTCCCTATTTAGTCAACGTCATTCACGTAAATAACTATTACAGTTACAAGAAGATAACCAAGTGTACGAGACAGTCACAAATCCATGAGAAAAGCTACTAATAGGGAGTTTCATGGGATCCAACACTACAAATAGGAGGGACTTTCATGACATAAACTTCTTAAGAAGGTTCGCAGTAAACAACAAATGCCTAATATGCTCACTGTTCACTAATAATTAATATTTGGGTGATTTGGATGGTGATCTGTTAGCTATGCCTCTAAGCTCCTCAGTCAAAGATGAGATGTCTTGCATCAAGAATAAACAATTGACACTTAAATAATAGGAAAGATCACATGACTTTAATCATTTAATCTCATTCAGGAAAATAAGATGAATTTCAAAATAGTACCCTTCATCTGCAATGCCAGAACTTCATTTTAAAAATGAGAACCAAGGGCCAATAGGGGCCTAACATACTAGTTGTCAAAAATTAAGATCAAAAAACAAAAGAAAATCTTCAACATCACAAGTAGTATGATATACTGAAGTATGCCTGCACATCTAATTGTGTTCAGAATCTGTTTAGGTAAATTCTATCCAAATCTAGTCTAGTAAAAGGAAAGCGGAATAACGGAAGGTATCTAGGCCATACACACCTTTCCAATACATTGCCCCACCCATGGGCAATGGTGATCAAACCGCTCAACACAGTTATTACATATTGAGCAATGTGAGCATCTTGGTGGGCGATAGAGCATGCATGTTTGGCAATATTTGACCTTGAGAACTATCCCATTCACAGTAACATTTTTCGTAGGTGGTAAACTTGGCACACCACATTGACTTCCTGCCCAGTCTGTGGAAATACTAGAGGTATCACCTTCATCATCTGGTTCTGGAGGATGTTGATTTCGAGGAATAATTCCAGGATCCCTTCCAGAAACGAGAAAGAGAAGAATTACAATCTGCAGTGGTTGATAGACCAATAGATAAACAGAAGATCCACCAATGAAAATCAAAAGCATAAAAATAATTTCAAGGACGATAAAAATATTTACCAGATCATGTTAGCAACTTTCACATGGATCATAAACAATATGCAAAATCACAAACAAAAAGCTCGTTCCAACCTCAAAGATATAGAATTGCCATGTAACCATATGTATGCCATAGTGCGTCTCTCACAGAATATTCCAGCATAAGAAGGAGAATAAGATAGTTTATGCTTCATTATTGAGGTTCCCAGGCACATGGACATTAACAAAGCCATGTCTTGCACAAATGAGATGTATATATCTTAAGGCCAATGCAGAATGCAAGGACACAGGAGCAAGGGAAATCCATAGTTATAGGAAATCGTTTTGTCTATTACAAAGCAAATAGAATCATATGGGAACCTTGGCATATTAATTATCATGTTAGGAAACTATTTTGTCACTGCCCCTAATATAAGACTTGCAGATTGATAAGCTGCGTAAGATATATTAATGGAGAAAACTGGCTTCTTTCCCGTTGTTTAATCTGCTCTATTTATAACATCAGGAAGCCTAATGTTAAAAAGTTAGAATAATTTCTCCAGCATTCTACATTCATTTTCATTTTCACGTTGATTAGATTGCACGGATTTATTGATATCATACAAACAAGAGAGTAAATATGGTCTTCAAGAAGCTTCATCATAAATTGATAACTGATGAAACAGTCAGTAAAAGAGGAAAAACTCACGCATGTAGTGGAGACAGCAGCTGTAGCTACAATAAGACGGCCTAGATGGTGTGGGAATTCATTGACAAGCCCTTGAGAAACAAAAGCACAAAACAAGACCACTGGAACTACGATTAGAGACAATGTAAGGAAAAGCGACCTGACATCTGGACCAAATATAAATCTGCCTCCGAGAAAGAATCTCTGCAAGTGCAAGAGAGTAAGAAGAATAAACCAGTTTAGTACTACCTTTTTTCTTTCGTTTAAAATTTGTATCAGTTGATTGGTAAGTCAGGTAATCATAAAGCCAAGATCCCGACTACAATGATAATATTATGATAAAAAGAAAGGAAGTAGAGGACGAAACACAAAAGAAGAGGAGATGAAAGCAAGCACCATACATTGCTTCCTTTCCAAACTTGATAAACTCGGATCGATGGCCCATTGCTATCGATAATTCGCCTGTTGGAGTCGGAGAGGTGGTGGTGAGGAGGAGGAGGAGGAGTGGGATACATCTCTCCTCGCATTAGGTCCCTTTCTTTATTTACTGCTTAAAGGCCATACAGAACTCCCGAATTATGAAAATTTCAGCCAGACGACATTCCGCGATGCTGCATGAGACAACAATGTGTATCATCAAACATAAGGATAGCACTAATTAAATAAACAAAGAAAAGCAACAAAGGTAGCATAAAGTGTTATCAAGTCCGGTATTGATCCAATCAATATATGAAAAATGGAAGAAGAGGACAGACATAAATTGGTGAAGAATTATCAAGGCAATTCTGAGTTCGACATCTCGTCGCACACAGAATTCTACATTTAGGCTAAAATGATTGTCAATATATCGAATCATAATGCAGAGGAATCTACAAAAGAGTGAGCTCCGAAGGAGATTATTCTCCAGAGACGTCCAGAATAGATCAAAATGAAAAGATGATGAGGATGAGAGAAAGAAAAAAAATAAAGCCGAATCTTACCTTTCAGCCAAAAAGAACGGTGTATCTAGAAATCAAGAGGTAGATAGAGAGGTTGGGACTGGCAGGGGAAAGAAAACTGAACCCAAAAAGGCCTTAGCTACCGCCAGAAGAAATGAATCCCCTACCTGTGTTCTGTTTTTCCCCCTTTGTGGGATAGAGAGGGCTGACCCTCTCTCTCTGGTGCTCTGATAAAAACTTGGGTTTTACGGATCGGACTCTCCTCGCTGTGCAGGGATTTGTTTTGGTTAAAACCAGAAAAAGAGAGGAAAACCAGCCCTGGTCATTGCAGTGTGTTGGATTTGGATGCCATTGTTAGAGATTGCAGCAGACAGACAGACAGAGAGACCAGAGCCAGCGCCGCTGCCCATTTTCCGCCGCACGAGTCGGATCGCCGATATACGGGAACAATTACATCCCGACGCCTAAAGTTAATTATTCAGATATTCTCAGATTTAAAATATTATACATAAATTTTCTAAAATTTGTAATTAAAATATTTATTATTAAATTATACTTAAATCCTCTAAAATTTATAACCATATAACACATAAACTTCTTAGATTTAAAATATTATATTTAGATATTTTTTTGCTGGATTATCCAAATCTATTAAACAACTAAATTATTCAATTAAAAATAGAAGATATTGTATTTATTATAGTATTACCTCTAGTTTGATTCTTTAATTTTATTCTAATATATAGTATAATTATAAGAAAATGAATATTAAATTGAGTTATTTGATGTATTTATACCGATTACTATTTTTTTTCTTAAAAATTTTAGATTTTATTTGAGTTTTATGTCAATGGATGATATAATGGAACATGCAAATATATTGATTAGGCTTACTTTATATGTTTATATTTGATGATAAAAAAATTAACCTGAGGTGAAAAGTCCATTTAATCGAAGATGTTCCAGATATGTTACTTTTAACTTCTAAAAACAGTTCATACATTTGAGTCACTTATTAACCTAGGTATTGGAGAGTTTACTCCCAGAGCTCCCCTCCGGTCTTCGACTTCTTTTTCAAGTCATCTAAATTTTGACATTATAATTTTTTAAGGAAAAATTAGATTTTTATTTTTGATTTTATTTTAATAAATTACATAATAGAATATAAATTTTGATTGTAAAATTTTAAATATTTAATATTTTATCTTTAATTAAAGTATTTAAGTATAATATTTTAAATTTGAAGAGTTTAAATATTATATGCTTCAAAATTTAAGGGTCTAAAAATAATTTATTCAAATTTTAGCAAGACGTAGTTACTAACGGTGTGAAAGATATATATGCCAGAAGAAAGCTTTAGTACCTCTATTCCGAGAAAATATCAGTACTCTCCGTTTCATTTCCAAACATTTCAAAAATTTCGTTATCGGTTACGTCGATCAATCAAACATAGAGTTAAGTTCAATAATCAATCAGAGATGTCGGTCTCGGCGAATGCAGCCTTCACTCATTCTTGAGTCTTCGGGCCCTTAGGGACGACTCCAGTCTAATTAATACAAAAAATGACATTGATCAGCCAGGTATCACGTAGAAAAGTCGAATCCGACCCCCTCACAGGGGGCTTAGTCGAAGGTGTAGTTTGCAGAGCACTATGGAAAGGCTATGTGCAAAGGAACAGGGGCAGCTATCGGGGCTATTTAAACTCGCGTACAAATTTTAGGGAGTTTAGGTATAATATTTTAAATATTATAAGATTTGAATAATTAAATTATAAATATTAGAGAGTTTAAGTGTAATTAACAAGTTAATATATGTTGGCCAATCCAATTTAGATCCTCCTCTCCTCTCCTCTCCTCTCCTCCACTGGACACCGCCAACGTACTGTAAGATCTTGACAAACTATCTCCAGTATGTATAAAATAAGGCGGATGTGTATAAAATATGGACACATATTTTATACCAATTGACCACATAAGTTGTTAAAATGATATTTAATATTAGTAATTGATTATGCCCGAAAACACTATATAATAAATACAAAAAGCACAAATAGTTGCGAGTGTCTCAAGACATTTTATTATACAAAAAATCACCAAACAAAAAAATTGATGGAAATTGTCAATCAACATGCGTCCACTATTTTCTAAAATAATTTCGGTAATATTTATTCTAAAACTTAACCTTTGAATAATACCAACCAATATATTATTCAACCAATATAAACAATTTATACTTAATTGATTCAAGCCCTTGTGTTAAAAAACATGACTCAATTCTCATGAACAATATTGCATAATAAATGAATAGGATTAGATCCTACGTAGATAAGGAGAACAGTGGTAAATCTCGTGCCATTAGAGTTTGCAGCCCAATCAGCATCAGTATAAGCTGGGAGATTTAGAGAGCTGGGATTGAAGGATAGTCCATTATTAGTGCATGGGAGATTTCCTACATTAGTTTAAAATAACGACCTTCAGCCTGGTGGATCTGCAACAATCACAGAATCAGAAAAATGGAGTCAGGTGAACACCCGATTTATCCCCTCCAAAACTTAAGTTAGTATAAGGTTGGTGGCTTGAGCTCAATATATCATGTATCGTGGTTTCAAGTTACGTACCTTTGCTTGGAGTAATTATACCTGGAATAGCAATGGGTGCAAAAATTTCAAGTCTCATATGGACATTTAATGCCCGACAATTTTACCTACGAAGATCTGAATGTTCTCCACCAAAATCTTCACATATTCAATGCTAGGATGATAGGATAAGTGTTCGGAGATGCCGAGCACTTATGGCTATTCTCGAACACTCGAGTGCCTATGATTGGCACCTGACACTTGTTACCGAGCGTTCAATGCACGGGAGGAATAGTACCTTGGGGCGCATCGAGGAGATATACGCGGGATAGGCCTAGGGTCTAAGAATGCAAGGGCTCATTAATGACACTGTCTCCATCACTCGCATCGCCATAAATGAAGAGTCAAGTCGCATTAAATGCGGGTGTCAGCTTGAGCACTCGGCTCCTCTAAGCCATCATCTCACGACTCCACTCCTCGACGTCCTTTGAGCTCTATAACGGCTACAATTTTACACGTGTCGATTTGGGGGCTACTGAGTGGCCTCAAGTCCCGCCAACTGTCCCCCAGCCTCCGTTCTTTTTGCGGCGTGAGACAGGTGGCGCAAGGAGACTTGAGGCTTACCGAACACGCCTCATTAATAGGGATGGTTACTTGAACATCTAGTGCCGCCCTTTTCAAATCTCCTAATGATGACTCGCCTTTTTGATCCCGCCCCTTCCAGTAGGGTATAAATAGGAGATGTTTGAGCCTTCTCAGAACTTGTACATCCTCTACTTCCTCTGAGCGATTAGCCCCCAAGCGTTCTTTTCCATCTCCCGAGCACTCCTCTGTCATCCTCTGAGTTCCTTCTCTAAAGATCCTCTGTCTGTAAGTTCCTCCCTATTGTTAAGTTTGTTTCTCTTTTCTTCTACATTTATCCTACACCTCTTTTTTGAATCCCCCAATGGCTAGAACCCATAGAAGAGTTGAGGGAGCACTTGTCAGGGGTAGGGACAACCGTAAGCCAAGGAGAACCGAGGTCAATGAGAAAAACATGGATGCCTTTAGAGCAAGATACCAAATCCTTGAGTGTGTTTTCACATTTCCCTTCAACCCTTTTTACCAAAGAAGGGACATAGGGGGTGCTGATATGATGTCTTTCTGGAAAAAGGCTATCATGGAAGGGGGTTGACTTTTCCCCTTCACCCCTTGATGCTGATTCAGGTGAGGATGTTCCCCTTGCAATGTGGGGTGAATTTCTTTAAGATAGTGATGGGCGTGGTTGACCTGAACGCCCGATTGGGGTAAATTTGGAGGTAGACGAAATCCTGTTCTACTACAACTTAAGACTAGTCACGGGGGGCAGGTACTACCTTCAAGCCCGAGACACTTCAATGTACTTGGTGACCCACATACCCGACTCGAACAAGGGTATGTGGATGATCTGATCATGCTCGGAGATAGTTGGGAGAGAGGAGACAGGCCCGAATATGATGGATTGTACTGCCCCAAAGTGCCAAGGGATGAAAGTGTGTTTTGCATACTCTAAGAGTTGTTCAGCACCTTTTCCCTATCACTACTAACCTTGACTGTTTATTTTTGCAGAGGGTTATCGGCGTGACTCTGCTCAGCCTTTAAAGTCCGAAGTCAAATTTGTTGATTTGTTAAAAGTCTGGTCCCACAACCCGGTGAATCGAGCAGCACACACACTCCTTGGCTACATGCTGACCTACTCCCATTTCTCTCAAATCCCCTCGCCTTTCAACCCTTCAGTCTGGGAGGATCATTCTTCTTAAAAGAAAGAGGAAGAAGGAGATCTAGAAGCAAACTCGAACTGGGAATCTGAGCACACCCCTTCTTTATCTGAGCGCACCGCCCCCTTGAAGACATGTTCAATCCTCCACCTATCATTGCTGCTTAAATGGATGTCGTTGCTGCAGCGAGGAGAGCCAGGCTCATGGGGCTTGTCGGGCCTTCGAATGTTGCCCCCATTATCCCGCCGTCGACCTCACCAAGGAGGCAACCTCCATCGCCACTGCCATGTTCTCAACCATCAAGGGAGCCTGCCATCCCACCCAAGGACTAGGCTCCAAGCCACCAAGTCCCCCTCAAGCGATCAGCAGAGGGACCAAAAAGGCCGGGAGCCCGAGGGGTCAGAAGAGCATCGATAGAAGCGTCGACTCGATGCCCCAGGGCCGATCACTTCCGCAAAATGGGCTCCGCGGGCTAAAACTAGGAAGGGCCACCCCATTCTAGAGGCAGATTCGATCCTTCAGTCCCCAGATGTTGCCTTCGTCGTCTTAGGGACTTTCCAATTTGAGGCTGACATGGTCGTTTACCAAGGCTATGGAAACAACCGACTTCTCCAAAGTGCAATTCAAAGCAACATGGTGGTGAGTGCGCTCTATCCTAACTTCCTTTTGCTTTGCCTACTCGGTCATCTCTAACTTACGTCATTTAATATGCTGGCCTGCCAGTAGATGAGGGCTATTGTGAAACACTTTTGGGAGTACAAGTAAGCGGCAAGGAACACCAAGCGAGCACTCACTGCCAAGGATGAACATATCAAGATGGTGGAGATGACGCTCATCAGACCCGGCACATCTCTGAACTCATCCGCCAACGCGACGCCCTTGTTGCCGATGTAGAGAAAGTGAAGTGGGTGACGTCAAGGCCATCAAGAAGGTTGAAGAGTATGAGCTCTTGGTCTTTGTCACCGAGGTCAAGCTGCAAGACTCCGAGGCCATCACCAACGAGTTGACTGCTAAGGTAGATGCCTTGACTGCGCAGAAGGCAAGGGAACAAGAGAGGCTACAACAAGAATATCAGAGAGTGTGGCTGGCCACTCAAGCTCAGATGGTCCCAACCTTCGAGGAGGCAAGCGGAAAGC